CGGTGAGCGCTCACGGGGCCCGGGCCTGGACCGGGCTGGCTCGGGGTGAGCGCGGGACCCCAGCCCGGTGCCGGTGCCGTCCCGCCCCGAAGGGGGCCGGGGTAACCTTGGTTCCTTTTCCGCTTTTCAAAGGCCGAGCTCCGAGCGGCGGTGTTCCTAGCCCTGGAGGAGCAGGAGAAGGTCGAGGTAAGTCCGCTTTTCCCTCTGCGTCCGTGTGGCCGCGCCTCCCAGCTGGCCCAGGGGAGCAGCCGGAGGAGCTGAGCTCGGTTCAGTTCTGGCCTGTCCTTGAGAAAGGCGGAGTTCCGCGGTGACTCAGTCCGCTCCTTGAAGTCCAAGTGGTTCTCTTGCAGGGAGGGACCTAAGGGTCGCTCGGCCCTGGGCAGGCCAAGGTGGGGCTAGTGCTCGCAGCCTTCCCGGGACTGTCCCGCTGTCTTACCACCGGGTCGGGTCGTCAGGCGGTTCCGTAGGATGTGTGCTCACCAGGGAGACAGGAGTCGGCCTGCGCCCCCTCTCCTCCATTCTGCACGTGCCCAGGGGGAGTGTCAAGTGACCGGGTGCAGGACTCGAACCGAACCGCTGTCCAGTGCCTTCACCACCAGGCCAGCTGCCACCCCCACACACTTTCTTTCTAACTTACTCCTTGAGTGAGAAAGACAGAGATGGGGCGCTGGGGATGGGTCATGGTGCCCTGGCACAGCCTAGCCCTCAGCCACCCCCCCAGTCATGGCGCAGGTGTACCTGGCTGGGGAGAGGTTTCCCTGGGGATCTGCCTCACCCAGCAGCCCGCTTTTTTTTTTTTAAAGATTTTTGCTATGGAGTGCGAGTGCTCACCAGAGAAACAGGTGAGAAATCAACCCCAGGGGCGTGGCCTCGCTGCACTCCCTCCTCCAGGCTCCTCAGAATCCTGGGCATGCATGCACATGCGCCTGGTGTAAGTTTAAGTTGTCGGGTCTGGGACTTGAACCGTGGTTGAGATGGCAGCAGCTCTTATCACTGTGCTGCTGGCCGGCCCCAGGACCTTTATTTTCTATCTGTCTTTTTCCCCAATGCTGGCCAGGTCCTGGACTTGAACTGTGTGGGGTCCGAGTGGGATTCAGCCACCCTAACTATCCTCGGAAACCTTCCTGTGGTCAGAAGTTCAGCCCTCCTCTGCGTGTGTGCAGGTTCCCTTTTCCTCTGTCCCACCCGCCCTCCGAGGAGATAGCGGACCATGAGGACAGAGCCGGCCAAGGTGCTCACTGCCCTCCCAGCAGCACGCCGCAGTCCCCCTGCCACAGCCCGCGGGCTCACCCTCCAACCTCAGCACATACCGGGTTGCTGCTGTGTGGCCGTGGTCTCAGCCCTGTGTGCTCCACTCATGTGGACCCTGTGGCCGAACCTTGGGGAGCCAACTTCCTTGCCTTCAGAAACTCCCCTCCACACTCCCCGGCCGTTTAACCAGCAGACTCTCCCCTTCCCCTTGGCAGCTTTGTGCTGCTAGGGAGCCACACCAGGCCTTGAGCTTCAATCTGCAGCCGGTGGCCCCGCCGTTGTCCGTCTTCCGTGACTCTTGCTCTGCCTCCCGGGTTGCCCTTGCTCACACGGAGCAGAGAGCCCAGCGGGTTCTGACTTGTCCTCTTCTCCTGCCTCTCACCCTCAGAGAAAGCCTAGCTCCCTCCGCTCTTCTGGGTGTCCTTCCTGCCTGCTTTGGCAGAGCGGCTCAGCCGGTCGGGAACCAGCACACCCACTGGCACCTGCTGGCTCCTCCATGCTCCCGTGTCGCTGGCCTTCCCTTTCTGGTGGCTCTTCTCTGTGCGGGAACACGTTGAAGTCTCTCGTAAGGAGAAAACTAGTCCTGTTCTGCTTTTAGTACCACTTTCTCCATAGAACCAAGGTTTGAAAGAAAGTTTATGTTTATGTGATGTCTTATGTTGGGCTCCTCAAAGTCCATCGAAGTCTTGAGTCCATCCCTGCTCCACCTGAAGCACCCCCCTGCACAGCTAGGAAGAGCCTCCAGTTGAGTGCACCGCAGTTCCTCATCTGTGCTGGTCATGACCGCCTCCGAAGGGCCCAGTCCCTCCTTCCTTCCTGAAAATCTCCCTTGACCTTTGGGATCTTTTTCTCTGTTTTTCTTTTGCCCACTTTTTGGTTTATTTTGCACGATTGGCTTCCTGTAGACCTCTCTTAAGCTCTTGGTGCACTGCCCTGTCGCCCTCACTCCGTCGTCGCTCCAGGGTGACCTGGACTGTACCGCGGCGTCAGCTCTGTCTTCCGTGTTGGCCTCCCCCCTGCGGTTCACACCTGTTGGTTAAACGGCCGACTTTGTGCACTGACCTTACTGGCACCATCGTCACTTATCCAGGCGAGAAACTGGAGTTTCCTAGGCCTGTTTTCTTCCACGTGCTTGGTTGCCACTGTCCCTGTGACCCTCAGTCCGTCTCATGCGTCTCTGAGAGAGTGCCTTCTGTTGCTTCGTCAGTGCTTCAGTACTTCTTGTCCGCATTGCTTACCTCCGGCTTCTGTGTCTCCCCTTCGCTGGTCTCCATCGTCTCCCTCAAGTTCTTTTCCACGCTGTTGCTAATACACATCTGGTCTTGTCCCTCCATTTTCCTTAAGTCCTGTAGTTGCTCACATGTCCTAAAATTCCCTATAGCAGGCCACCAAGGAGTTTTGTAATCTGTTGCCTGCTTGTCTTTATGAAGGTATAACTTGACCTATGATAAACTAGGCATATTTACAATATATAGTTGGTCAATTTTTTAAAAAAGTTCATTTTTTCTGAAAAAGAGACGGACACCCCAACTTGGTCTTCGCACTGTGCCCTAGCCCTGTCCTCAGCTGGCCTGGACCTCAGGTGCACACACGCAGTCCTGGTGTGCTCAGGGCCCGGGCACAAACCCAGGAACTCTAGGTCCAGTTGTGTTACTGCTGTGCCACCAGCCAGCCCGTACAGCTTGATAGAGCCTAACATTTACGCAGCTGCGAAGCGATGACCACGTCGAGGAGTGGACCTACCCACGGTCCTCAAAAGGTCCCTTATGTTTCTCCCCGGCCGCCCCGGCGGGCTGAGACCCACACAGGTAGTCACGCCACACGCTCTTCTTCCGGATCTGGCTTACGTTTCTCGCCGGCCGCCCAGGCGGGCTGAGACCCACACAGGTAGTCACCCCCCACGATCTTCCTGATCC